AAATGTATACATATATTTAAAAAAAAAAAAAATAGAAAATATTTGAAGCGGATAATTTCATATTATATATTCGATTATAATGGCAAATTATATATGCTATAATTTGCATATAATACTTTAAACTCTCATCTACCCATATTAAATAAAAAATGACTAAAATTGCGCAGCTCCGATCGAATTCAATGAGAAGAACTGGTCTACAAAATATTTACAATTTAATAATTCAGCGCAATAGTAACAAAACTTCGGTGCTCTCAAGCAAGTGGCGAACATTTGCCAACTCTTTACTTGGCAGCAAGCAAATGTCAGATATAAAAGTGTGTGGGATAACATAGATATAGATATATATATGAAAGAGATGATGGCCAGAGGCACGGCACGGCATAGCAGAACTGAGGCCGATGCTGAGACTGAGGCTGAGTGCTGAAAGCCAGCTGTTGCCAAAATTGCAGGCTAATTGAATTTTCTAGCAGCAGCGCCATTTTGTATGCTACCAAATATTTTATAACAGAGAAAGACAGCCAGAGAGACAGCCAGAGAGAGTTGAGAATGGGAAGGAATAGAGCAATCGAGTGGGCAGAGCTGGAGACAAAGTTTGTGTTCGTGTTGACAGCCGCACTTGACCCTCGGCAGGAGGAAGGCCAACAAAATTTGGACTTTTCATTGTTGTTGCCGTGCCTTTTTGGCCATGTTGTAAAATTAATTTTCAATTTGATTTTAAATAAATAATTAGCTCGCAAATTGCAAAATTTAATTTTAATTTCTTGCTGCTCGACGCTCCTAAGCTCCAGCCATGTCAAAACTTTGCTCTCTTTTCTCCTTTCTCGTTTTTTGTTTTTTGTTTTTTGTTCTTCCTCTCGCTGTTTCTGTGTATGGAGAAGGTTGCGTAATCCGATTAGCTGGAAAATGTTATTAGCCGCCCTATCAAAAGTGTCGCTATGCAGTTGGCCATGTCTGTGCCGCTATTAATATTTGATTATGATAATAATTAGCAAATGCTGTGCAGGTAAAAGGCACAAGTTGCACTTGCCACTTGCCATTTGCCACTTGGCAATTGCTAATGAAGCACGCATTTGGCCAGCATCATTAGGGGAGGAGGAACGTACACTAAGTATCCTGGCTACAGAAAGTGGCTGGCTAATCAAATAGTCAATGAGCCAAGCTACGTGCACTTTTCGGCTCGTTTTCGTTTCGTTTTGCCGGTTAATCAAATTTTTTGTAGCCAATAATTGCTTGAAATGCAAATGGACGCCTTGGACATGTGGCATGTGGCATGTGCGGCATGTACGGCATGTATGGCATGCCCCGTACAGTTTGAGGCCAAAAAAGCAAACGGCAATGGCAATTAGCACAATTAGGTTGCCAGTCCAAATCCCCAAAGCGCTCTCCAGCCTCAATTCTCTATAAGCCCATCGCATGCTGCCTTTCGCTTTCTCTCTCTCTCTCTCTCTCTCTTTGTCTGTCTCTCTTTCTATCTAGCTCCAATAAGAATTTCATGCTGAAAGCATCGACCTGCGTACTAGACCAAACATCAAATATCAGCCCAGTCAGCAACAACGACAACAGCAACAACAACTCAACTAACCACACTTGTCAGGAAGACAGGATTAACAAATCCTTGTTGGCAAATTGATTCAAAAAGTACGCAGCACAGAGCAAAGAGATGAAGCCAGCACAGACATGGCCAATGCCAAGAGTGATAGACTATGAAATACCGCGCAGTTAACTTGGAATTACAGAGAATGAAATGGGGTAATTACATATTTGCCTCAACTGAGAAAATTATTACCGGAGAGTTTTAGATTCCTATCGAGAAAGGTATATTCAAGATTCTCTGTCTTATTTACGTTCATCTATGTTGTTAATTTATAAATAAAATTGCTCCGCTATGCATTATTTCGAAAATTTGAGCTGCGCAATTAAGTTGCTAAAAACTCTCTTTAGTTAGCTAGAAATTAGCTAGGTTACAGAACTTCAGAACTTAGACTACATACTTTACTCTGTAGAGGTGATCAAAAGCTTTTAGACAATTTTCTGAATTTAAATTTCAATTAAAGTCTCTTACTAATTTCTCGAAATTGTTGAATCTTGTGTTTTTTTTATAAATATTATAAATACTTAGGAATATGATATATGCATAAATACATGAGATATCAACAATCTTCAATCCTGACATTATCAGCCAGATTGTTTTGCTAATGCAGCTCCTCATTCCTGAAAGATGAGTCCTACTTATATTATTCGCAGTACAATCACAAATTATCTTGAGATAATGCATATTATAGATATTAATCTACTTTTATTTATAAACAATTCTAAAATACATTTCTCTCATTATTTTTAAAATATATCATAAATAAATATATTCTATCGCCTCTATAGCTCAAGCAACCTCTTAAGCAGCTCTTTATAGCTCACAACAAGACAGCTCTATAGCTGCTCTGCTCTCTCTAACTCAGCTCTAACTGCCACACTCTCTCTTCCCCTCTCTCCTTCATTCTCGCATTGTCTGTGTGTCTGCCGCCCCGCTCGTTAGCTGTAGCCGGTAATGGGAGATAATTCAATTTTTAAACATTTGGCATAACAAGCGAAACCGTCATTAAGGGATTTTTGGTCCTGACTCTGTTGAGAGTCCTTGCAATCAGCTACCCCCCTTGGCACTAGCTGCCGCCGTGGCCATGCCCATAGTCATAGCTGTAGCTGTAGCTGTAGCTGTAGCTGTTGCTGTTGCTGTTGTTGTATATGTGCTGTATATGTATCAGTGTCTGAGTCCGTGCTTGTGTCTGTGTATTTGTATTTGTATCTGTGTAAGATATTTGTCTGCAACTTTTTTGGGCTGTGTCTGCTGCTTGATTGGCATGCAGCTTGACTTTGACTCCATCTCGAGTACTCGTTGCTTATACACACTAAGCCAGAAAATCAATTTTCATTCGATTTTTACCCTCTGAGTCTGTGTGTGTGTGTGTGTGTTGGCTTGCGTAATCTCAGGCAAATTAACATTTATTATAGTTCTGCTGTAAATGAGTTTTGGCCCAGTTTCGCTCAGGCAACGTGCCGCACGGCTCGCAAAATGTCTTGCGACACTTTTTCTGACATCTTCAACATTTTTCTTGATTTCCCCAATTCCCCAAGCGCAGGGCAGCCCTTTCAGCCTGTCGGCCCGCCTGCCTGCCTGTCCGCCTGCCTGCCAGCCCCGCCCCCTGTGTCACGCTCTCGTTTTCCAAAGTCCCGCATTGAGCTCTTGTCGCTGTCGCACGCGCTCGAAATTTTAAATTAGTTTAGCAATTGAGAAGCGTTCTTGGTGTCGAGTGACGGAATCACGAAACACGAATCACGAAACGAAACTAAATTGAATTAGCCATGCAAATGTTGAGCTTTTCTGATTTGCGTAAAGTGTCGCAGTTGTTACCTCAGATATTTGATATACATATCTAAATATTTGCATATATATATGTACAAAGATATCCCAGAACTGTTTGACATTGATAATGACATTAGTTACAGGCCATCAGTCGAAGTTCGGATGATAATGTCCTTGTGAATTGATATTATATATACATTTATTTTACCTTTTACTGCGTTATACAGCTAATCAGTGAAGATTGGAATATCTTAATCAATGCCTGAGAACTATATCGAAGAAGACTCTATAACTCTTCTTGGAAATTGAATATATGTATGTCTAGGATTTAATTGCAACCAGAAATAAATGTGTGGTATTCGAAAAAAATATTCTTTTGGTATTGTCTCTATTTTACAGTCAGGAGATAGTATCTCACAAAAGTGGCTTGGCCTGGTACATTAACAAAAGTTACTTACGGACAGTCTTATCTGCAGAACATCTAATTGAAATTATTTACTAATGGAACTGGGAAGCTAATACATGCGAGAGGATAAGGGAGTGAGCCAAAAGTGATAAAGTAAGAGAGAGAGAATAGAAAAAATTCTGAATGAGTAAGAGAGATTAGAACAGAGACAGGGCAAAAGAAAGATATTGCTAAAGACTGAGAGAACAAGGGGAGACAAAAAGAGAGAAAGTAATAGTGAGAGAGAGAGAGAGAGAGAAAGAGAGAGACAGAAAGGGAGAGATAGAGAAAGAAATAGAAACGGAGAGAGAGAAGCAAATAGAGATAGAAAGAGTGACACTAACATGGTTTTCAACAAGAATTAAAATATAAGTCCCTATGAGCTGTTCAAATAAGTAATTTAATTTTTAGGTCCAAGAGAGGGAAGATATATTAAACAAAACCTAAATGATATGAAGCCCAAGTTACGATTAGAAAAGCTTTAATCAGATCAAATCAATCCTAAATTAAGTCAAACCAACTTTCAACAACTTTCAGCAATTTACTTAAAATTATTTAAAATTTCAGATTCAGAATTTTTATTGCCAGAATAATAGATATTCAATCCTAAATTAACACAAAACAACTTTCAGCAATTTACTTAAAATATTTAAAATTTCAGATTCAGAATTTTTATCGCCAGAAATTACATTATTAGTCTATGTTACTAAGGCTTAAATTTGATTGGCCTATGAATATAATAATGGTGCTCAACTTAATATGCTTAGCTGAAATAATGCTGCCAGCATTTAATCTGTCTGGCTGGAACGTGTGTACTAGCCGTAAGGCTCTTTCTCGCATTGTCTAATGACAATCACATTTGTCGTGCATAATTCAACTCATATTTCAGCTTTTGCCTCATTAAAAGTCACAGAGCAGCAGACGTCGGCTAGAGCAGCTGATAAGCAGCCACAATTTATAAATTGCATTAGTAACACCTGGCAGACACGTAGGTCGAGCCAGGACTCAGCTCGAGCTCGAATCATAAGCGACAGTTGAATTTGTTAGGTAATAAGCCGTAAATATGCGTAGCTTGCCACATTATGAGGCATAAGTTGCAAGTTGTAGCAAGTGGAAGTAGCTGCTGCCTGTCTGTCATATCATATTGAATAAATCAGTCGAGGAGGGCCAAAATGGAATTTGCACCTAGAGCAGCAGCCTCACCTGATTAGAAAGAGAGGAAGAGAGAGAGAGAGAGAGAGATAGCTAAACGTGAGCTACGTGCAGAATGCTCATGCATTATGTACCCAAGTAGTTAGTCCCTGGGTCCGCCCCATTGAAGTTGCTGTAATGCGTCCGTAAGTCTCTGGCTAATCCCATTAAGTACTCGAACATGCGCTCAGGCATCCCAAAAACTAAATGCGCTGCAATTTGAGCAGCACAAATTGTCAGACGTATTGACAAATTCGGTCGATCGTCTTTGTCGGCGCCTTTTATGTACTATATATAGAGGAAAAACACACACACACACACAGACACAAACACACGTAAATAAAAATCAATAAAATCGTTTACGGCGGCAGGTGGCACTTTGATTTCAGATTTCAGATTTCAGTTTTCAGATTTGAATAAATGCAGCTGACGAAATCGCCGCACACTTTGGCCATATCCGTGTGCGACACTTTCGCACATTCCAGCGACTGCGGCACATTTGCATGCCAAAGCATTAACGCTTTGCTAACAAATAATTGCATGAAGCAAAAAGCCCAACCGAACCCAAAAAATCCGACAAAAAAAAACTAATTTCACTTCTTGGCAGCCCTTTTGGCCGTAGTTGAGTAGGAGCTGGCACTCCTTTGACTCTCGTGCCGCTGCGCATACATACGTACATATATCGATTGAGTTCGCTTCGTTTCGCTTCTTTTTTATTCAATTATAGTTATCGGGGGCTCCTATTGAGGGCTGTCAGCGAACAGCGCGCATAGCAGCAAATCGAATTGCTCTGCGGTTTTCTTTCGGCGCAGTCGACGCCGTCGCATGGCGTTTAATGGAATTTTTATGCCCCGACCAATTCGCGAATTCTCTGACTGGCTGACTGACTGGCTCACTCCACATGCTCAGCTTCGTTTATGCTCTGACATAAGAATTATGTACACACACATTTTATGTACCTTTATAAGGTGCAATCAGAACTACTCTTTACATGCATTGCAGAGCTTAAGGCTATGGAAAACTATGCTTCAATTCATATGAACTACTGTAGAACTTATTAATAAAGTTTTGTACATATTTAATATTTCTGTATTTTGATCAGAACAATACTCAAAAGTGATTTAATATCGTCTTTATTCATTAAATATATATTTGTAATTTATTCAAACGACTCATATTTAATATATTTATTTAATTATTTAAATACTTATTTATTCATTAAAATTTATTAATTTATTTCAAAAGATTTATTCGCAAAAATAAAGTCAAATATGGATAACCTAAATCATATAATCGCACAGCCCAAAAACCCACAGAAAATAGTAGTATCACCAGCCCGATTTATCAAATTGTCAAACGAAATATATAAGCAATGAAAAATATATATACATTTATATATATTCAATGTAAATTAAATAACAAACAGCAAA